AAATATAGATTAGGAAAGAAGGGAATGGGGGGAAAATATAGATTAGGAAAGAAGGGAATGAGGGGAAAATATAGATTTTAAAAGAAGGGAATAGGGGGAAATATAGATTAGAAAAGAAGGGAATGGGGGGAAAATATAGATTAGGAAAGAAGGGAATGGGGGAAAATATATATTAGGAAAGAAGGGAATGAGGGAAAAATAAGTGAGAAATAGAAAGAGCGAGGTATGAAGATGGAAAATAAGGAAAAGCAAGTGTGAATGTAGGGGAAACGAAGAAAAAGGGGAAGGAGGAAAGGTTTTGAAAGTGAAATTTTGATGGAAGGGGAGGAGAAAGTGACGAAAGGAGGGTGTACAGAGGAGGGGGATATGAATAATATATATATATGAGGGGGATAGAGGAAGGATGGAGGGAGTGTGGATGGTGGAAGGATGGATGGTGGAAGGATTGATGGAGGGTGTATGGATGAAGGGTGGATGGAGGGTGGGTGGAGGAATGATGGATGGAGCCGGAGGAGGATAGATGGAGGGTGTAAGGATGTAGGGAGGATGGATGAAGGTTGGATGGTGGAAGGATAGATGGTGTATGAAGGATAGATGGATGGAAGTTGTATGGATGGAGGGTGGATGGAGGAAGGGTGGATGGAGTGTGGATGGAGGAAGGTTGGATAGTGGATGGATAAATGGTGTATGAAGGATAGATGGAGGGAGGTTGTATGGATGGAGTGTGGATGGAGGAAGAATGGATGGAATCGGATGAGGATAGATGGAGGGTGTATGGATGGAGGGAGGATGGATGGTGGAAGGATAGATAAATGGAGGGTGGATGGAGTGTGGATGGAGTGTGGATGGATTAAGAATGGATGGAGCCAGAGGAGGATAGATGGAGGGCGAATGGATGGGACAGAGAGCAGAGTAGGTGGAGAACAATTGAAACTATGTAAGCAATGTTAGGATAGGGAGAAGCAGTGGCTAAATTAAGAGTTAGATCAATATTTTATTATTTTCATATCTCTATTTTTATCCGCATCAATAAAACCTCTTATCGCTTGTACTGTAATTAATACCTTCCTCCCTCCCCCCTTCATCCTAGACGCTACCTTTGTTAATGAAAAATTAAAGAAAAATATTTTCTAGGGCTCTGTCAGATTGCTTCACCTATCCTATACAAAATAAGGTAAGAAAAACTGAAAGGTTAATAGTTATTCTACAGGGTGTCCCTAACTCCAAATTTTCGATTGAATCATTTTTAAAAATTTGCTTGCAGAAAAGACTAGTTTTTTTTTCAAGAATTATGAGTGCAGATTTTGACGTTATGGTTCGGAGATATGACATGGGCCGCTCTGCATAAATGGTCATTTCCACGAAATATATCAAGAACCATCATAGCTTTGTTTACAAATAAGTTTACTACAGTTTTTATAAACAAATCTCAACCTGACCAGCACTGAGTTTGTTTACATTCCTCTCAGTCCGTCAGTGGGCTCCGGCTTTTTCCATTATTCATTAGCATAATGTTTTATCTGTTCATTTTTTAACTTGTAAATACATTTTTCCGGCCCTACACTCTGTAGATTTACTCTCATCAGTTTTAAGGCTTTAGATTTTCTTTATTTCATACCATCTTTATATGGTAACTTGGTCACAGCTAAATTGTAAACTTTTATATTGTTTAATTTAATTTTGCTTTAGACAAATATAAATGATGAATATATATAAGTTTGAAATATCAAACATCAGGTTACAAAGATAAAATAATTAGAATATATGAGTTTGTGGTATAAACTTAATTCCTTATGGAGATTAGAAAAAGGGAAGATTAAAGGACAACAATTAAATGTGTTGAGGTTTTCATTAGTTTATAAACTAACTATTCTCTTCTCTCAGTAGAATCCAAGTCTAGAGTCTAGACTTTCCCCAGATATATCCGGAGAAACCAGAGAATATAATTGGGAGAGGGGGGGGCAGCAGGGAGGGAACGGAGGGGGGTTTAATGATCAAGGGGCGTAAAAAGCTGAACAACATTATCCACAGCAAAACAAAATTAGGGCAAGGAAATAAAAGTGAGATTGATTCTGAAAGTAAGAAATACAGGAATACAACTAAATTCAAGATTTAGTTTTCAATTGAAGTTTTAGAGCATTGGTTTTATTTTAGAATAAATAAATTTAAGGATGGTACTTTTGATTTTATATATGGACGTTTAAAGAGAAATTGAGAAAACACTTGAAATTGCAACTGAATACAGGTGGGGTCCGCCAAGTGAAAGGATGAGGGGGATAACCTTGTTTTCCACTCTTTAACTAAAATGTCATTCTAAATAATTCTCTGTACTCTAAGAGAACACACAAAGCACTCTTGTATGCCGAGTTCATTAGCGCGTGATCCAATTAGAGTTCAGTCATGTGTTTGTTGTCTATTCTGAACAAATAGAAATTGCATGGCGGTTACATCTATCTTTCTATCTATCTCATCATCCAATTAGAGATAAATCCTTAAATCGGCACTATACACTAAACGGAAATATTTACTTCTACTGAAACTATAGTGAAAGGTTTTAATGGTTCCGTTGTAAATCGCATGGACGGTCACTTGAAATTACGCTTGCGCTTACATTAATAAATTAATCAATGAACTGTTTAAGGTTGATGAATGGCGAGGAACAGTAAAACAGATAGATAGAGAGCATACAAGGAAAGATAAAATTAAAAAGTTTAATTTTACAGAAAATCAAACGACGTGTTTGCAGGGTTACCCTCACAGAATGAGACTGTAAAGACGATCTCCAACTCCATCTCCAAATATGACTGTTCCAAGGTTAAATTAAGTCTTCTGTCTAAAATCTAGTCTTTTGTGGCATATTTATTGGTAAGGCAACGAAAGAAACAAGAATCAGACAGAATAAATTGTGTACAGTCGTCTCTACAGTCTCATATATTGCTGGTAACTCTGCACAATCAATCAAAATATGTCCTCAAACTATACAATCTAGAGTCAGAACTTTTATATTGTGAATCTCAGGATTAAGCAATACTCTCAATTCTATTTAGACCTGTAAATGACTAATTTAATTCATTTTCGATATACTGTGTTGATCTGCAAGAATATCTTTAAATAAGTAACCAATCATTTATCTTCAAGTTCGAAAATGCCCAAACTGGATATCAAGATCAAGTGTTTAAGATTAACGATACAAAAGTTCCGACCTCTGGAAGTAAACATTAACTGTTATGTGAATGATGCAGATTGTATTTAAGTTTACAAGTTAATGATGATTAATAATAATTAATTATATCTGCAGAGAGTTCAAAAAGATGAGATCTCTCATAAAGAAGAAATCAGATCAAATTATTAAACTCAGGTACTCAGGTCCTAAGATTTACTCCGTCCTAAAGTTTACTCCGTCCTAAGATTTACTCCGTCCTAAAGTTTACTCCGTCCTAAAGTTTACTCCGTCCTAAGGTTTACTCCGTCCTAAAGTTTACTCCGTCCTAAAGTTTACTCTGCCCTAAAGTTTACTCCGTCCTAAAGTTTACTCCGTCCTAAAGTTTACTCCGCCCTAGAGTTTACTCCGCTCTAAAGTTTACTCCGTCCTAAAGTTTACTCCGCCCTAAAGTTTACTCCGTCCTAAAGTTTACTACGCCCTAAAGTTTACTCCGTCCTAAAGTTTACTCCGTCCTAAAGTTTACTAGTTTACTACTCCCTAAAGTTTTCTCCGTCCTAAAGTTTTCTCCGTTCTAAAGTTTACTACGCCCTAAAGTTTACTCCGCCTTAAAGTTTACTCCGTCCTAAAGTTTACTCCGCCATAAAGTTTACTCCGCCCTAAAGTTTACTCTGTCCTAAAGTTTACTACGCCCTAAAGTTTACTCCGCCCTAAAGTTTTATCCGTCCTAAAGTTTACTCCGCCCTAAAGTTTACTCCGTCCTAAAGTTTACTCCGTCCTAAAGCTTACTCCGTCCTAAAGTTTACTCCGTTCTAAAGTTCACTCTGTTCATGATATACTCTGTTCTCAAGTTTTATGTCTGCTGTTACTCCCCTTTGTTATTCTACTGCTATCATAAAATTATGTGTTTCAAATATCGCATTTCCTGGTTTGTGAGTAAAATAAAGTAGTACAGGGAAAAATAAGACACGAAAGAGAGAATACAAAAGAGAATAAATTAAAGAAGGACGAATGAGCAACTAAAATAATGGATGATAATAAAAAATTAGAATATAAAAATAAGTGAACGATGAATGATTGAAGAAAAGGACAAAAAATATTTTGTAATATTTATCAAATTTTATGTACAACTGTTCAGGAAGAAGAATAATGTAGAGAAAGGATGTATGAATGTATAAATGTTCATGAAGAAAGGAAGAAAGGAAAATAATGTAGAGAAAGAATGTATGAATGTATAAATGTTCAGGAGGAAAGGATGAAAGAAGAATAATGTAGAGAAAGGATGTATGAATGTATGAATGTTCAAGAAGAAAGGAATAAAGGAGAATAATGTAGAGAAAGGATGTATGAATGTATGAATGTCAGTAAGAAAGGAATAAAGGAGAATAATGTAGAGAAAGGATGTATGAATGTATAAATGTTCAGGAAGAAAGGAAGAAAGGAGAATAATGTAGAGAAAGGATGTATGAATGTATAAATGTCAGTAAGAAAGGAATAAAGGAGAATAATGTAGAGAAAGGATGTATGAATTTATGAATATTCAGGAAGAAAGGCAGAAAGGAGAATAATGTAGAGAGCAGTAGAACCTGTGATGTCCAAGTCCAAGAATTAAACTCACTCATCAAAACTGCAGAGGATAAAGAGAAACAGGAAAACCAGATTTAAATATTTTTTTAGAATCTAATATTTGAAACTAAGACTATTTGATCTAACATCATAAACATAAGAAAAAGTCTACGAAAACATTTTGCGAAGGTATACGCTTTAAACTTTTTTTGTATATGGAGAGTAATCATTTTCTGAAAAAAGATCAAACCCCGTTTGACGACTGAGCAACTAATTATTTATTTTTCTTCATAAAGTTTTTTCCCGTGGGGGGGGGGGGGTTGTCTTAATTTTTTTTCTTTCCAGTTGGATCAGCACCTGATTGAAAAATTAAATCCCATGAAAACCATTGATAGCTCAACGGGGGAGGGGGTGATGGGGGAGGGATTAGCCCCCATAGCCCCCCTGTATGTACACCTGTTGTTCCATCTTGAAACTATTATTATGGCTTCCTAAAAAGTCTTTTAGACTTTTTGATTTTGTATCTTTTTTAAAGGTAAGAATAGTCCTACTTCTGTTGTACATAAATGAATATAATCACAATGAAAGATGAATTGTCTTCTGTCATAACAATAATAATTTTTTCTGACATAAACATTTTTTATTACTATTACCAAACAATATCTTTTTGCTTCTTAAAGGATCTAGAACTGCTTATTGTAGTCTGTAAGCCGGATTAGTTTTCTTTAAAAATATTAATATTTAGCATTTATTTATTACGTTTCATAACAGAACTTACATTCATTAAAATATCAATAAAACAAGTATGTTTTTGTTTCTTGGTTGGGTGATTAACTTTAGCCCAGGAAAATTTACCCAAAATTTTTTTTTTAAATGTTAATTCTTAAATCCGCCAACAATGAAAACAGAAAATTTCGCAAAATTTTATTGTTTCAAGTAAACGTTATAAATTCCAGATATATTCGCAACAGAAAGCTTATTATTAGAGGTGCGTTAAGCGCCTTGATAGTCGAGTAGTTTCAGATGCCTGCATAGAAACTTATTCTGGGACATTTATTTGAAAATAAATTTAGTTTTAGAATTTACTGAAATATTTTTGCATAAAATCTGAATGCGAATTAAATTCTAACTGGAGCCGGCCTACTCCGCAGAATAGGAAAAAGAAAAATGCCAAAAATTGCATTGTTTTACCAGCACACAATTTGCATTTTATTTAAATTCTCCGCAAAAATGTTGGATTTATTTAAATTTTTAAAAGTAGCCATGGAAACTATATTTTTTGTACAGAATATAGTATTGATATTTTTTGAGCTTAACAAAAATAGGCCATGTAGTTTTCAACACGTTTTCTTAAAAATTAGGCTAGAGATCAGAACTTTTGTTTGGATATTGTCAATCTTTAACGCTTCATCTCGATATCCAATGCGAGAACTTTTGAATTTGAGAACCAATGTTTGATTCCTCTACTAAAGGTATTCTTGCAGGGCATGAGCACCACGGGATATCAAAGAAGAATTAAATTTATTCGCAAATATGCCTGGAGATTAATGTTGATCCAGAGATTCACAAAGTTTGACTTGAAGAGTTTAAAAATTTAAAAAGCAGTCGACATTATATAAGTTTTGTAAAAAGTTTATATAGATAACTGCTTGATCCTGAGTTAACAACACACAAGTTTTGACCTTAGTGCATCTCTCCAAATATTATTCAATGCTTTCATTGGTTGGCGTAATTTAAAAATCTGTCTGATTCCATCTAACCGTGAATTTTTAATCTCATCTCATCAGTACAGTACAGTACAGTGCAGTAGTACGTTCTTATCTCAACTCAAGAAATAATTTAACCTCAATTTTATGGTTTCCCTCCTATCTACCTTTGTAGAATATTTGTTTGGATAAGTTTGCAAAGTTTTAAAATTAAAATAAATCATGAATTTGTTCCGAGGGTTCAAGGATTCAGGACATATTCAATGCAAAGTTTCATATCAGTTTCTTAATCAGGGTATAGAGTAAAGCACAGGGGGTTCTTTAATCAGGGTATAGAGCATAGCACGGGGGGTTCTTGAATAAGGGTATATAGTATAGCACAGGGGGTTCTTTAATCAAGGTATAGAGTATAGCACAGGGGGTTCTTTAATCAGGGTATAGACTATACCACAGGGGGTTCTTTAATCAGGGTATAGAGTATAGCACAGGGGGTTCTTTAATCAGGGTATAGAGTATAGCACAGGGGGTTCTTTAATCAGGGTATAGAGTATAGCACAGGGGGTTCTTTAATCAGGGTATAGAGTATAGCACAGGGGGTTCTTTAATCAGGGTATAGAGTATAGCACAGGGGGTTCTTTAATCAGGGTATAGAGTATAGCATAGGGGGTTCTTTAATCAGGGTATAGAGTATAGCACAGGGGGTTCTTTAATCAAGGTATAGAGTATACTACAGGGGGTTCTTTAATCATGGTGTAGAGTATACCACAGGGGGTTCTTTGATCAGGGTATAGAGTATAGCACAGGGGGTTTTTTATGAACAGAAACTGCGATAATTATAATTTGCAATTAAAAAAAAAAAAAACATTTTTTTCAAATCTGGTTTGGTTTGGTAAGGTTGTTAAAAGAATGGCTGCCCAAGAAAGAACGCATTATACAGCTTTAGCAGCTTCCTTCAAACCAATCATAGGTATACATTAGCAGCTATCATTAAACCTATCAATTGTATACTTTAGAAGCTTTCCTCAAACCAATCATAGGTATACTTTAGAGAGTTAAATTATCATAGAATAAATTAGTCATTTGGGTGGTAAAAGCCTCTGCCCCCCTTTCCCAATCCAATATCACCGATATCTCCAAAGACTTTCACTCTTAGGACCATCGTTGCTTTTTTCTATTTCTTACTTTCTAACTTATTTTTTCTATTTCTTACTTCCTAACTTATTTTTTCTATTTCTTACTTCCTAACTTTTTTTTTCTATTTCTTACTTGCTAACTTATTTTTTCTATTTCTTACTTGCTAACTTATTTTCTCTATTTCTTGCGTCCTCGAAGTAAAATTTGTAAATTTTGTAAATTTAATCAAGAGTTTAGTTTATCCACTCATAAATCGTAGGCTTAAAATGTTTATTCTCTAATATTTTGAGTTGTGACGTTGTAAAGCTCTAGAGTACAGTATAACATATACCGACCCCTTCTTGTAGCCCCTGTAATGAAGAATTTAAAGGTGCAAAGCATTTCTTAGTTCATTTATAACAATCTTGAGATAACAAACCTAATGTTTCAGGAGAAGAATATGAAATGTTATTGGAGATTGAACAGTTGACAGAAGTTATGGACAAACTAACACGGATAATATCAGATCCAAGGTTTTTAAAGGGATTCTTCACTAATTATAAAATATATACTCTTTAAAGGGATTCTTCACTAATTTAAAAATATAAACTATTATAAAGGGATTCTTCACTGATATTAATTTATATAATATTTAAAGGGATTCTTCACTATTTTTAAAATATATGCTCTTTAAAGGGATTCTTCACTAATTTAAAAATATAAACTATTATAAAAGGATTCTTCACTGATATTAATTTATATAATATTTAAAGGGATTCTTCACTATTTTTAAAATGTAAACTATTTTATGGGATTCTTCAGTAATTTAAAAATATAAACTATTTAAAGGGATTCTTCACTAATCTTAATATATAAACTATTTAAAAGGATTCTTCACTAATCTTAAAAAACATACTATTTAAAGGGATTCTTCACTAATTCTAATCTATATGCTATTAAAAGGGATTCTTCACTGATATTAATATATAAACTATTTAAAGGGATTCTTCACTAGTTTAAAAATATATACTATTTAAAGGGATTATTCACTAATTTTAAAATATATACTATTTAAAGGGATTCTTCACTAATCTTAAGAAACATACTATTTAAAGGGATTCTTCACGGATTTTAATCTATATGCTATTAAAAGGGATTCTTCACTGATATTAATATATAAACTATTTAAAGGGATTCTTCACTAATTTAAAAATATATACTATTTAAAGGGATTCTTCACTAATTTTAAAATATATACTATTTAAAGGGATTCTTCACTAATTTTAATCTAAATGCTATTTAAAGGGATTCTTCACTGATATTAACCTAAAAACTATTTAAAGGGATTCTTCAATAATTTTAAAATACACACTATTTAAAGGGATTCTTCACTAATCTTTAAAATATATAATATTTAAAGGGATTCTTAGCTAATTTAAAATAATAAACTATTTAAAGGAATTCTTCACAAATTAAAAAATATATACTATTTAAAGGGATTCTTCACTAATTTTAATATATATACTCTTTAAAGGGATTCTTCACTAATCTTTAAAATATAAACTATTTAAAGGGATTCTTCATTAATCTTAAATATATAAACTATTTAAAGGGATTCTTCACTAATCTTTAAAATATATACTAATTAAAGGGATTCATCAATAATTTTAATCTATATGCTATTAAAAAGGATTCTTCACTGACATTGATATATAAACTATTTAAAGGGATTCTTCACTAATTTAAAAATGTATAATATTTAAAGGGATTCTTAACTAATTTAAGATAATAAACTATTTAAAGGGATTCTCACTAATTTTAATATATATACTATTTACAGGGATTCTTCACTAATTTTAAAGTATAAACTATTTAATGGGATTCTTCACTAATTTTGAAATCAATAATATTTAAAGGGATTCTTCACTAAACATTGGAACGATCCCTGTAAAGCGACTATCAGCGTAGATTTAAGTGACCCTCCATGTGAAGATGGCAATATCCGATTTACAAAGTTAATCTTGAAATCTTAATCTGATCAAAAATGTGGAAGATATTGTCGTTTTCTTGATTCGAACGGTGTTTATTTCTGTGATTCTGTGAATTTCTCCACTTATTCTTGTAAGGGAAAAATGCGCAAGTAACTTTCACAGAGTAATCGCAAATTAATATAAACAGACCTTCACCCTATCAATATCACTTTTAAACTTCATAATTGTGAACAAATTTTGAACTTTTTTTTTTGATGCACATGGTAGGGTGGAGAATGGTCAAACGGCGGGTAGGTGTTTCAAAAAAATCAGAAATGTGTCACATGTCAGTATTTGTCAAAAGTAAAAATATTTATTTTTAAATATTTTTCGATGTACTTTTTAACTAACAATTAAAGATAGAGGTCTAACATTTTTTTAATGAGCAGGGCTTGAAAAATTGGACTATAGGGTTATGTATCACTCTCCCCAAAAAATCATAGGGGGTGTGGGGTGGAACCCCCTCCCCCCTCCATTTTAGAAACAAAAAAGCCCAATCGGGATTATGAAACAAAAGGTATACCATTTACAGACAAAGCTTTTAAGGGTACCATCATTGTAGATTGGGCATTGACATCTTTTCATGGAGACTCACTTGAAATTAAACTTACAATCTCATTAATAAAAGTTAAGTTTAAAGGGACTGTTCACCGTATTTTAAATGTCTGTTAATTATAATGATATGAAATGAAATTTTGATTCCCTTGGTTTTAATCACAAAGTTCTAGGTCTCGACTTATAAGATTTAACTAAATATATTTTTTTTTTGACATTTATTTTGAAGTTTTTTACTTTTTTTTTACCCAATTATTTAGAGAATAAACAATTTTCCTTTTGATGATTAAACAGTATTTTACTTCCTTTAATATAGCTGAATGGTCATGTGTATAAAAGAAACATTCTTTTTCAGTTATCCTAATATTTTCATATAGTATCTTTATCATTTTTACCAGGAACAGAGACGACTGTACGGATTTTATTGATTTCTTTTTCTTTTTTAGTTATCCTAATATTTTCATATATTATCTTTATCATTTTTACCAGAAACAGAGACGACTGTACGGATTTTATTGATTTCTTTTTCTTTCATCCCTGCTTTCCTATATTTGAAAACAATTTCATTTTTTCTTAACTAAGTCATCATAGTAAACTATTCAAACGACTAGCAAGGAAATGAGTTATCCCTTTATCTTTGCAACCTGATGATGTAAACTTTTGTTATATCAAACTTAGACCATTTGATCTACCAGATATCGTAGTTTGAAATTTCAAAAATATATGCGAGCGATATCGGGTCGCAAAGATGTTAGGATTAAAAAATTAGAGTTTGTGATAAAAACTCAATTCATTTAACATTCAGACTGTCATATTTTGAGATTTTTTAGTCGTCTTTAAGTTTCATCCTTTGTGGGTAACCCTGTATGTTTTTGGGGTTTTCATAACCTTTAATATGTTTCTCATTGTGTAAATTAAAGCAAAATTTGATATTTGACTCTATTCGCGCAAATCTTGGAAATATAAATTTTATTCCAAGTTTTACATTTATTAAAGCTGTTTATTGTTTATGTTTAAAGAGTAAACTGAAATAAAATTTTGTTAACAGAGAAATATTTAAAAATTTAGATAAGTTCTTATTTGGTATAATAAAATATTAGTAAAAATTGTGGAGGGGGGGGGGGCAGGGTTCTCATGCGGACTTGCGGTGAAGTGAATGGTAAATAGTAAATTACTGTTAATTCTGAAATCAAGCAATTCTGCCAAAATAATAATGTGCGCAATATTGTATTTTTATGAAAAACTTTTCGTTTTAGATTTAGAAAAATTTGAATTTAAAATTTGTAAATGTAAAAACAAAATATATTTTCTTTCCTAGAAGAGTTGTGGAGACATCTGAAAATGTTGTTTCTTTGCTCGACTCAGCCAAGGTAAATCTTTTAATCTTAAATCTTAGAAAATTGATACAAACTTGATCTTTATTTTGATCTTGATCTTGATCTTGATCTTGATCTTGATCTTAATCTTGATCTTGATCTTGACCCTGATCTTGATCTTGATCTTGATCTTGATCTTGATCCTAATCTTTACTGAATCTTAATCCTAAACTTGAACTTAATAGTGGACTTATTCTTCATACTGAACTTAATCATAATCCTGCACTAAATTTTAATTTTAATCCTGTACATAATCTAAACCTTAATCTAGGAACGGTTTTGCTACGCGACTCCTCCGTCCTCCCCTGCTGGTTCTACAATGGGTTCTAGGAGAGGTTCTCTACGATCCCTGACATCAACCTCGTCCTCAAGAACCTCGTCAACCTCGAGGTTATCCTACCACGAGTCCTCGACCTCTACCCCGATCTCGGCGGCAGCCTCTAATCCTGATTCTAGATCTAGAAATGATTCCTATTCATCAGATACAGAGGTTAGAAAAAATATATTTTTAGTCTGAGGTCAAACTTTTGTGGGAAATTATCCCGGGATTTACAACTAAAGTTTTAACCTCTAGATACGTTTCAATACAGAAGCATGCAAGGAACTGTGAGCAGGGGCGTATTCAGGAATTTGTCCAGGGGGGGGCTTAATTTTTTTCTTTCCAGGGGGGGCTCAGCACCCGTTGGGGCCTGAAAACCCTTGAAATTGATAGATTTCACTGAACATGGGGCGGGGGGTGCTTAGCCCTGAATACGCCTCTGACTGTGAATAAAATGTCGTGCAATTATCATTATTAAGTTTTTCATTTAATGTTTTAATTGTTTCTTTTTTTCTTAATTATTTGTTGTTCAGATTTATATAGTTCAGAGTCATTAACGTAATCTTAAAGGATTTGTCGAAAAATGATGTCACAGAAATCGACTTACTGTGATATGGTGACTGTAACCTTATAATTCCTTTATTTATAGAATTAAATTCTATCTTCATGAAGTTTTTAAAAACTATTGAAATTTTTCTTTTTTCTAACTAATAAATGTTTTTAAAAGTTAAGCCAAATTAGCCTTTGACGTCAAACCGAGTTTATTTTTTACATTACTTTGTAAAGAGAAGAATATTAGATAAAATTAGGTAAAAATGCATAAAATATAATTAGTGTCTCTTCATCTCTTTGATAAGTTTTTTGTGACTTTCAAAAAATATAAAATGTTCAGATTTTTTTAACACTAAATTTATATTTTTTAAATTTACACTGCCCGGGTTCTGTATTTTATATGTACACCGAACAATGTACAGATTCTATATTATATATGTACAATGTACATTGTACACTGTACAGGTTCTATATTGTTTATGTACACTGTACATTGTACAAGCTATTATCATGTACATAGTACACCTTGCAGGTACTAAGTAAGCCTCCAAGCTGGGATTCTCTCACCTCAGCCCGAAGCCAAGATTCAGGAAAAACAACATTTGTACATTATCGTTCTTCATTTTAATTTTTACCTTTATTTACAAAAAAACTTTTTAGGAACAAGTATTTTAACATGTTCTGAATTCTGATCTTAATTCATTTAGGGTTATATATTTTTCTTTACACCAGTATTTAACAGACTAAAGCCATGTAATCAACAACTACAGTGAGAACCAGAATTCTGTTAGATCCAATAATCTAAGTTTGAAATTTCAAAGGTTTATATTTTCAGGCTGCAAAGATATCAGGATTTATAAATTTGAGTTAGTGGCAAAGACTCAATTATTTTAAAAAGTTCGTTCAGTGGACATCGAATTAAATCGCGCTGAGGCTAAGCGCCTTTTCATACAAAAATGTAGCTTTCTGTTTTCGCAAATTTTTAACGTATTCCGCCGTAATATTAAATATATAGACTTCTACTTGTAAGTGTGTCTTTATTTTTCCTTTTTTAAATCTAGTATCTTTACAGACTGTGGTAATATAATATATGGATATTGTCTTACCAACACCTGAGCCAAATGCATTCACCAATTACATTATTTACATGATCCAATTACAGTAATTACAGAACCCGACAATATTATTGGAGACAAGAGTAAACTATATTTCAAGTAATGATGTTTTTTGTCGGAATAAAATGGACCTGTAGTCGCTGCAAAAACTATAGATATGAAATTTACATCAATTAGTTCTGTAAAATGAGAAAATAATTGACTGCTTTTAATTTTAAGAATATATCTAAAGCACCAAAACTCTAAATTGAATAAATTATGAATAGATGTAAATACTTTAAATTCAACAAATTAGGGAAAAAATGGACCAGTAGTGGCCGCAAAGGAAATGAGTTTTTGCCACAAACTCTAATTTTTGTATCCCGTTATCTTTGCAACCCGATGTCGTAGACCTTAGATATTACAAACTTTTATTTCTGTTAGATCAAATAGTCTAAGTTTGAAATATCAAATGTTTACATTTTCAGGTTGCAAAAATATAAGGATTAGTAAATTTGAGTTTGTGACAAAAACTTAGTTTCTTTTCTCGAAAACTAGTCAAGAAATTTAAATCAAAGCGAGAGTTTACACAAAACAGTAAATTCTCTTGCGCAACAGTTTCGTGTTTTTGCACGAAATGACTTTTTTTTACGAAATTTCGCATTAGATTCAGTAAAAAGTAATTCTTTCATATCTGCTGCAGTATTTATTCGTTCATGAACAATATAATCACATTATTATCATATTCATAGTTTAGACACTGTTAAAATTTTGGTTACTTTCGTCAATAAAATTTGTTATGTAAATATGTTTTAAGAAAACGCTAAAAAGTTGCCACTGTTATAGGTGTGTCTCATGCAGTCCTACTGAATATAAAATTATGCTTGTTTGTTACCAACCTCCGTCGGCTGGACCAAATTGTCTAAAAGGAATTGAGTCTTTACCACAAACTTAGATTTTATAATCCCTTTATCTTTGCAGCCTGATGATGTAAACTTTCGACATTTCAAACTTAGACTTTTTGATATAACAGAATTTATAGTTTAAAATATCAAAGGTTTCCGACGTCGGGTTTAAAAGATATAGGCAACAACTCATTTCCTTTATTTCCAAGAAACTCTGAGCGATTAAGTCAGATGCATTTCCAAAAATTGTTTCTCGAAATTTAACGAAATAGGTCGAGATTACGAAATACTAAGAGACACCGAAATACGCGAAAACAAAGATTTTCTTCAAAATTTTGGCGGAATAGCTTTTTGCGCATCAATGCGAAATTATATCTAAATTTCGTGCAATTTTTACTCGAAACGTTCTTTATTTTCGTGCAAAAAAAAAATTCGATTGGAAACTCTAATCAATGCCATTAAACAATTAGTTCAGTAAAATAAAAACTCAAAAATATTTTTAACAAAAAATAATGAATAAAAGTAATACTTTAAATGCAACAAATTACATCTTTTATAATACATAATGATATATGATAATATGTTTAATAATATAATAACATAAAATTATATTCATGATATATAATGATAAATAATAATCTCTAATAATATAATAATATTTAAAAATAAAAATGTTGAATATACCTCCAGGTTTCCCCTCCAGTACCTTCTCCTCCTCCTTCACCCCTCTAGTCATTAACGAGGTCAGTTCTTTAACATATTTTTTTAATACAGAATCAAAAAATCTGAAATCAAATAAAAAAACTGCCGATTTGACTTTATCAACAAAAAACAGCAAAACACAAAAAATGGATTTTTTTTTTACAAAAATATGTGAATACGATACAACACAACACATGCTTCTAAACACATTGTTTATTTTTCTCTGATGTTTTTCACGGTTAGTAAACAAACATTTTGGATCAAAAAATCAAAATATCTATTCGATATTAAGAAGCATTTTTAATTTTATCAATATGAGAGATGAGGGAGGGGGGGTGTGGCTTACGTGTACGCCCCATCTTGACATTTTTTAGGATTTTATTTGCATCAAAACTTCCACCTAAAGGGACTGTTATTGTTATTTGAAGTGGCCTTCCCTTTGAAGAGGGGCAGGTCCAATCCTTCCCTTTGTAGAGGGGAAGGTCCAACCTTTCCTTTTGAAGAGGGGTAGGTTCAATCCTTCCCTTTGTAGAGGGGCAGGTCCAATCCTTCCCTTTGAAGAGGTTCAGGTCCAATCCTTCCCTTTGTAGAGGGGCAGGTCCAATCCTTCCCTTAGTAGAGGGGAAGGTCCAATCCATCCCTTTGAAGAGGTTCAGGTCCAATCCTTCCCTTTGTAGAGGGGCAGGTCCAATCCTTCCCTTTGTAGAGGGGTAGGTCCAATCCTTCCCTTTAAAGGGGGGTAGGTCCAATCCTTCCCTTTGAAGAGATTCAGGTCCAATCCTTCCCTTTGTAGAGGGGCAGGTCCAATCCTTCCCTTTGTAGAAGGGCAGGTCCAATCCTTCCCTTTGAACAGGTTCAGGTCCAATCCTTCCCTTTGAAGAGGGGTAGGTCCAATCCTTCCCTTTGAAGAGGGGTAGGTCCAATCCTTCCCTTTGAAGAGGGGAAGGTCCAATCCTCCCCTTTGAAGAGGGGGAGGTCCAATCCTTCCCTTTGAAGAGCGGGAGGTCCAATCCTTCCCTTTGAAGAGGGGAAGGTCCAATCCTTCCCTTTGAAGAGGGGGAGGTCCAATCCTTCCCTTTGAAGAGGGGGAGGTCCAATCCTTCCCTTTGAAGAGCGGGAGGTCCAATACTTCCCTTTGAGGTCCAATCCTTCCCTTTGAAGAGGGGGAGGTCCAATCCTTCCCTTTGAAGAGGGGAAGGTCCAATCCTTCCATTTGAAGAGGGGGAGGTCCAATCCTTCCCTTTGAAGAGGGGCAGGTCCAATTCATAACCCTACCCTTTAACCTTATCTCATCAATTATGTAGAATAAAACGTCGTTTTTATGTCAGTCTCCGTTGTTTCTGAAGCAAGGAATGCGCAGGCAATTTTTGTAGAGAATCCACGTTCACAAATGAAAATAAGGTTTTCAAAAGAAAAAGAAAAACGGAATCGTACTAGACACTCCATCAATGTATGGTAAATTAATATTACGTTCTTGTCCTTTTAACCTTAGTTCAAACTCTCCAAATCCTCGTTTTCCCTTTGAAAACTTTAAAAAATGTATATTCCCCCCCCCCCC